CCGGACGTTGTCCATTTTTCTAGGATCTCATCTTTTGTTATTTAGAAAAGCGCTATATGAAATGTAAGTATTATTATCAAAACACATCCAACCATTAAAACACACTCAAAAACCATTCAAATGCAGTAGAACACAGAAGCAGTACCTGTGGATGTAGCGCTGCTGGTGGATGGAGTGGACGGCGAGCACCATCTCAGCAACGTAGAACTTGGACATGTCCTCTGGAAGACGATCCTCAAATTTACTGAGCAGTGTCAGCAGGTCCCCCCCCACGTAGTAATCCATCACCAGGTACTGCAGAGCAAAACCAATCAATCACACTATTTACACTCACTCACACTATGGATCACCAGTGGATGACAGAGGTACTGACCAGGTAGTTGTCGTCCTGGAAGGCGTAGTGCAGGGTAGTGATCCACTGGCTGTCTCCTTTCACCAGCACGTCACGTTCTTCTCGGAAACACGCCGTCTGAACACGCAACATGTTGCATGTTCAACGCAACACGCTAGCATCCAAAACCAAGCCGCCTGAAAACGGCACATGTCCCCCATGTGTGTGTGTGTGTGTGTGTGTGTGTGTACCTCAGCTCTCTTCAGCATCTCCCACTTATTGAGGATCTTCATGGCGTAAACTCTCTCTGTGTGCTTCATCTTCACCACGGCGACCTGAGCGACAGACAGACCTCAGGTGGATCAGTACTTCATATAGCGGAGACGGATCCATGACTGGATGCTGCTGCCATGTGCTAGCAGGTGTATGTTCAGGGTTATAGGAATGTTATAGTTGTTGTTATTGATGAAATCGGTTCAAACGGGTTATAAAGGAGGAGTCAGACTTTAGCTCAGTCACACCTGTAACACACATACAACTCTTTTGATTATCTACTGAGGCAGTAGGAGGGTGTGGCTCCGACACGCCTTTCCTGTGGTATGTGGATGTGTTTAGACGCACACATGCACACACACGCATGCACAATTGCTTGGATTGAATATATGGAAAGCAGGAGGAAGAGGAGGTAAAGAAGATGAATGGTATTTGCGTGTGTTTTTTTATTGTCCTGCGTACACCAAACGAGGAGATAGCAGACAAGAGATAAGATAAGATCCTTTATTAGTCCCACGATGGGGAGATTCACCGGATGGCCACAGACAAAGCGGACAGTGCGCACAAGATGCATGGTAAAGAACAAGGGCAGCAGTAAGGAAGTCACAAATATAGTAATATTTAGGAAGAGAAGAGACAAGGAGAGGAGCGAAAAGGAAATAAAAGATGAGGAGACAAAGCAAGAGGGGACAAGGATACAGGGCCAGAGGAGACGAGGCAGCAGGCCTCTAAGAAACAGGAATTTTACCTCTCCAAAAGCTCCGCGTCCAATCACCTTCAGCATCTCGAAGTCGTCTCTGTGCAGCCGCATGTCCTTCACTGTGGTGGTGAACGGCTTCACTGAGGACAGAAGACACACGCTGTTAAGTTATTAAGCCCATATTAATACACTTATTAAACTCATATAAAATAGTGTTAACAGTATGTTAACACTATTTTAAAGCTCATATTAAGTGTTGTAAACACTTATCAACACTGTCATATTAACACTGTTATAGAGCTTATATCAATACTGTTATTATCTCTTAACACTTATTAAAGCTCCTAATAACACCGTTATTACCGCCATTAACACTTATTAAGGTCATATTAAAACCTTTGTTATACTGACATTAAGTGCGTCTTAACACTATTGTTAAACTCATATTAACACTATTTAAAGCTCATAGTAAACATATACCGTTATCAAGCTCATGCCTGTTAATACCACAACATTACCCCATTGAGCTCATTAACACTGGATTGTAAGGCAATCTATAGTCTTATTACACTATTATGATCATAATAACACTGTTATTAAGCGTGTTGTAAAACGCTTTAATTACTGCTATCACTTTTATTTACACCATCAATAATCTCATTAATACTGTAATCTGCAATTACACTGTTATGACACTTAAAACTATTAAGGTCATATTAACACTGTATACACAATATTATTACTTTATGTGTTATCAACACTGTTAAGGTCATTAGAAAACTGCTATTACACTGTTAAACTATTACTAAGCTCATGTTAACACACGTTACTAAAAAACATTTACACTTATTAAATGTGTTAATGCTCCTATTAAGCTCACGTTAACACTTACACTGTTGATCTTATATCTGTTATTACATGTTAATCTATGCGATTAATGTGGCCTAGATTAATGCAACTACATATTTTAACGCAGTTAACGTGAGTTTGTTCATGAACGGCCGCTAGCTGCCGTCTGCTACATCAAGCCGAACAGAGCTCTTTGCATGGGAAGTAAAACAAACAGGTGCGACAGACAGCTATGCTAAGCTAGCTGCTAGGCTACTTCCATCTCAACATCTAACGTTACCCTGCGTGGCACACAGTCTGCAGAGGACCACCACTGTGTCCCTAAAGGACAGTGGTTTGACAACGTCCTGCTAAATGTGGGGACATTGTTGGTCTTCAAACGGGTTAAATGATGGAGAGCAAAGTGCACGAGGACAACAGGAAGTAGTTCAATTATGTGATTAATTAGTTATTTTTATCTATCTATTGACAGCATGTTAATATACTGATATTCATAGTATTATTACTCTGGTTGTCATATTCATTAGTTATTACACTCGTAATAGGGTAACGGTTACAGTCCCATCAGGTTAAACCAAAACATAAATAATATCCATCCCGCCTGGTTCCCGCTTACCGATCGACTCTGAAAGAACCTCTCAGCCAGACTACGACTGGACTCTCAACTCGACCGTTCTTATTAATGATGAATAACAACAGGTAAACACTCCATGTTCTAAATAAATACATGGATCTGAAGCTTTATGAAGACCATTTGAGCCCCAAAGAAGACCACCTAACCCCCTATGATCCTGAACATCTATGACAACCACCTATCCCCAGCATGAAGAACACCTGACCTCCTACAAAGACCCACCTGTACCGCCATAAAGACCACCTGAATCCACAACCAAACATGCATGAAGACTAACTAAACCTCGAGGAAGACCAACAACCCCCCCATGAAAACCACCACCTTTACCCAAACCTGTCCCTGTACTGACCCTCCATGAAGACCACTGTCACGCTTCTGAACCTCCTGAAGGCCACTTAGACCTGCAGCAATACCTTTAAACTCCGATGACCCCCTGTGGGTGGACCCGGTGTTCCCCAAAGTGAACCCTTACGGCCCTGCTTCTATGGTGCTGCTTTTAACGGATACCCGGTTCTGGTTCTGGCACCGACCCCGGGCTTGGGACCTACCCCACTCCAGGAAGTCGGTGACGTGCTTCTCCCTCTTCAGCGGAGAGTGTGAGACCTCCGTGTAGAAGCAGAGCAGCAGGTCGAGCAGCGCCTCCACACTCAAACAGCCCGCAGCCTTCTGCTCCAGCAGCAGCTCCTCCAGCCGCTTCAGACGGGCCTGAGCCGACATCCTGACCCGGGACGAGGACCCTCTGCTCCCGCTGACTCGCGATAGCCACGCCCGCCGCGTCACCGCCTCCGCTTCCTGTTAGCTCAGCCTGCTAGCTAAGGTTAGCTCGTTAGCTCCGGAAAAACATTCCGGACATTTTGATCTGTCCGTGTGTCGGTGAGTCGATGAGTGTCCGCCGGTTGCGGGTAACGAGTTGTTGTTTAGAGCCGTTCGGTGGTGTGTCCGTCATCCGCATCGGCGTTAATCCCGGTAAATCTGGACTTTCCTCTCAGAAATCGGGATGTCGGTCGGTACCGTCCGTCGACTCCCTCAACTCGGCCGCTCCATGTCCGTGGGTCGGTGTTTCAGCTCCGTAGCATGTCCGGGAGTTCCGGGACGGACTGAGGTAGAACGACGACGGCACCGTGAGGGATCGGGCCCGCGGATCAACGGGGAGGGAGCTCGGTAGATAGAGGCAGGCTGCCGGTGTGGCTGCTCACTGGGAATATGGCTGAACTCAGATCAGATCATTCGGCAAGCTGACGACACAGCAGCACATTTCCGGTGTAGAGGAGTTCCACAATAAAAGACAGTAACGCGTCATCAAGTTTTAGACTATTTGTTCATTTACTGATTAGAGACATGACTCTTTTATAAAAAATATAGTGCTACAAGTACTTCCTTGTTTTGGCTCAAATATAAATGAATGATAAAATAGAAACTTTAATATTGCTATGAAGAATACAGTTTATTTGCACTTTACAAGTTTTCACTTTTTATATAACTCTCCCGAGCTGCATCATGAACGTTTTAATGAATATTTAATCTGTCTAAATTCCTTCATGAAGACATTCACATATATACTACCTGGATTAAATTGCACATATTACATATTTTAGTTTATTTCACAGTTTATAATAGTAGACAATAGTGTAACAAATGTCTACCTATTATTAAGTGTTATGGTGTTTTACGGAAATGAGCTGTTCCAGAGTAATTGTAATTGTTATCTAATTTACTGAGCTTAGGTCATTGAAGGTCGTTACACCTGTCAATCATCCTTTCCATGATGACCGGTGGCAAAGGTCAGGGGGCCTGAGAAAGCAAGTGCCATTTTGTGTTGTTGCCATGGTAATGTGTGGAGTTATTATGTGATAGGGACTGGTGTTAGCGGATATCAGAGAGTGTTCAGCGGTCTTGATGTGGTTTAGCTGAAGTAGCTTGTGTTGCAACAAGCTGGTTAATGTCTCGTAGATTTCCTTATCGAGAGTCGCTAAAATATTTTAAAAACAAATAAAGGAGAAAGACATTGAACACAAGCCACTGGAACCGCTACAAGCTTTAACTTTGAAGGATGAAATACCGCACCCGGAAGTGTGTACCTGCTTCTTTATGCAGACTTGACTCAACTGTCTAATTCTCCCTGAGGAACACAGAGGCCCCGCCTTCCAGCACCGGAAACGCTCTGGATAGATGACGTCATGGCTTGATTGGCAGGAGCCGGATAGACCCCCCCAAAACGCGAACACAACAAACAAGGGCAAACATACGCACATAAAAGAGAATATATATATAAGAGAATATATATATTAGTTTGGACAGTGATGACAATTTCTAATCACGCTTATTTGCAGATTATATGTCGATTATTCGACAATTGATGATTGATTGTGTCGTGTGATTTGGGTTGTTTGTCTTGTCGTCAATTGTCGTACTCTCAACCGTCAAGTCAAATTCCTTGTATGTCTGACATAATATGGCATTAAATGTTTCCTGATTCCTGATTCCTGAAATGTCCGCGTCTGCTCTTTGACGTTTCATGAAAGCTACGCAAATAATTCTCTGCCCTTTTGGTGTTAAAGCACAATTACAATTAAGAGCAGATTGTTCTCACATCTTGAGTGTATTTAAAACATGATAGTAGTGGATATCAATAACTTTAATTATCAGTAACTTTGGTCATCAATGTCTTTGGTTCCATCAACTCCTTCTGGAACAGATTTAAAATGAAAACTTCCAAGTCAGAGTTTGCTACCTTTCTCCTTGTCTCTACCTGCATATGAGCTTGGAAAGCAGTCTGAAGGCTGCCGCATGTTTCTGCGTCTTTACGTCGTGTCGACGCACTCGTTTCACTTCATGGTTCTAAAGTCTTGCGTGTGTTGCAGAGCGATTCACCTCCCAAGCCAATGCTGATTAACATCCCTCCTCACTAACCATGGTGTGTCTGTGTGTGCATTAGAGCCAGTGAGCTACGGACTCTCACAATAATAATGAAAAAGCAACTGAGTTAACTGAGTTAATAAAAGCATTGTTCGCATTAATTAATTAGTGCGCAGTACTAATATACATATATTTATACGTTTAAATATATGACTGTTATGGCCATCTCTCTTCTGTATACATATATGTATATATATAATTATTATATGTATATATATAATTAAAATAAGTATATGATAATATATATATATATATATATATATATATATATATAATTGTATGTATGTGTATATATATACATATAAATATATGAGGAGACTCTGTGATGGATGTCCCTCCCATGACGTTCCAGCAGGTCGAGGGGGAGGGGGGGAGGGGGGGAGGGGGGGGTTGGAGAGTAGGCTGATTAGCTGTAAGGAGATTAACAAAGGTTAACAGAGCTTCAAAACTCAGTTTCTTAGCAGCGATATGTGTTTCAGTTTGTCTCAGAAGTGAGGAGGGGCGGAGGAAGGACTCTGCTGGTCGATCTGTCTTCAGGTAAACCTTTCTCCTCTGTCCATGAGTCTTCAGTGTCCTGTCTCCTGTCCTTCTGTCTTCTGTATTTGTGTCCTCTATTCTGAAGTCATCATTCTCCTCTCCTGTCCTCTCTTCCATCTCCTTTCTCTCGTCTCCTGTCCTTCTGTCTTCTGTAGTTGTGTCCTCTATTCTGAAGTCATCAGTCTCCTCTCCTGTCCTCTCTTCTGTCTCCTTTCTCTCGTCTCCTGTCCTCTGTCCTTCTGTCTTCTGTATTTCAGTCTCCTCTCCTTCAGTCTTCGGTCTCCTCCATGCTGTCTCCTGTCTTCTGTCTCCTGTCTCCTGGCAGCAGTCTCCTGGCTTTGTCACTTGTCACTTATGATCAGTAAACACTTAATGTATTGATTATCGTTGTGTTTGTAACTGCAGTTCAGTATGAACACCCATGATCACCTGATCGAAAACAGATTAGGAGAGATGATCCTCTGTGATCGATTTACAGCCTTCTCACGGCTCAGATTCTGATCAACATGTGGATATGATTGTTATTGATTATCTGATAATTAACTGGCTCCGTGAATCATTTTCAGACTGTCCAGTTCCACCAGTTTTGTTAACCTGTGACCTTCTTCCTGCAGTGATCACATGCTGTCAGTTGAAGAGAATCTAAAATACCTTGCTAAGCTCCTTATGACGCTCAGAGAGCAGCTCCTTCTTTGAACATTTAACCCTAAAACCAGAACCCAGAACACTGAACCCTCAATTCAAGACCATGAACTCTGAAAACCAGAATACAGAACATTGATCTCTGATCCCACTAGACAATGAATCCTACGAACTATGAACCCTAAAATCTGAACCCTGATCACTGAACCCAGAACACCACACTGGACTACGACTTGAGTCTACGCTTGGCACCATTTTGTTTGTCAGAACCAGGAGCAAGCCCATCAGGTTTGTACAGACCAAAACCAAAAAAAACAACTCAAACTCAGCACGCTGTGGGATGTTCTCCTCATCGCTTTAGAACCTTTCATTCTTTTAGAAACCAAAGGTTTTAGACAGACTTTTTGGGGAATATATTTGAAGTGACTCATTTAAGATATTTAGGAGACAAGAGTCTTTCTGATTTGATTGTTCTTCAGTGTGGTTGTTACACCTTCAGTCAAGATGGTTAATGACTAATTAATGAACCAAAGGTTTCTAACATGATCACTAACAGAGCCAGCTGGAAGTTTAGCCACAGAGACAATGTTGACAATCGACATGCTCAGAATGCAGTACCTAGTGGTCGTAAGCAGTACAGCACCTTGAGGAGGTCCGGTTGTCCAGCATGTTTTTGCCAACGTGAGACGTAAGAACCGGAGAGACATGGCGGTCGGGAAACTGAGCTTCACCAAGCCGGAAAGAGAGAAGCTCGCCGAGGTGCTCTGGCTGCTCAACTGGATCTCGGTGCTGACAGGAGCCCTTCTGTTTGGCCTGGGCCTTTTCCTCAAAGTGGAGATCCAGAAATGGCAGGAATTGATGTCAGAGGGGATCCTCCATGTGCCACATATGCTGATCACCACCGGCCTGGCGGCCTGCTGCATCAACTTCCTGGGCGGGAAGATCTGCCTGGACTGCACCGACACCAACAAGTTTCTTCGCTGGAAGTTGGTGATGATGCCGTACATTGTCTGCACCTTCTTCTTCACCTCCTGCATCCTGTGGGGGGCGCTCACGTGCTACAGCGTCCGCAGCCAGCTCGAGGAGTCACTGTCGGGGGGCCTGAGGAACGCTATGCGCTACTACAAGGACACGGACACGCCGGGCCGCTGCTACCTGAAGAAGACCCTGGACCTGCTGCAGATCCAGTTCCAGTGCTGCGGGATCTCTGGGTACCGGGACTGGTTCCACGTCCAGTGGATCAGCAACCGCTACCTGGACATGACCAGCAGCAGCGTGGTGGAGTAAGTCTCTTGAGATCTCAATCTTTGTTGATATCAGTAAATCTACTGGATTCCATGCGTTCTGGTGGATATTTCTATGAACCGAGGTGAGGATTTCAGTGCTTTGTGGTTTTAGTTTAGAGTTTTAATGATCAGTTAGTTCAGAATGAATCCGAAGCTCATTCAAAGTAAAAAAGAATGAATCCAAAGCTCATTCAAAGTAAAAAAGAATGAATCCGAAGCTCATTCAAAGTAAAAAAAAAGTAGATAAATTCCAGGTACAAATAGTTTCACTCAGCATGAATGTAGTTCAACCCAAACTGTTTGACCCATGCAACAAAAGAAACAGGAACCAGAACATAGACTAGAAATCTGGTCTAAAGCTGATGTCATTCAATCTGAACCTTCATAGACTCTAGAAGACCTGGCTGGATTCTGGTGGATTCCATTGTACCTGAAAGGAGTCTAAAGATCTCCAGAACCCAAAAGAACAACTCAGTTCTGGTAGGACCCGGTTGTTCGTTTTGGTGGATCCTCTGGAGGTGTTTTGGCTGAAGGTAGATTCCATCAGTACTAGCAGTAGTACTAGCAATAGTTCCTCACTCCCTGCTCCTCCTTCCAGCCGCCTGAGGAGTAACGTGGAGGGGAAGTACCTGATGGATGGCGTTCCCTTCAGCTGCTGCAGTACCTTGTCCCCTCGGCCCTGCATCCAGCAGCAGGTCAGCGACAGGTCGATACACTTCAACTACGACCAGCGGAGCCAGCAGTTCAACTTGTGGAGGAGGGGCTGCCGACAGGCCCTGTTGGACCACTACACAGGCCTCATGCAGTCCATTGGCCTCACCGTGCTCCTCATCTGGCTCTTTGAGGTTCCGACACACTAACCCACCAGATCCACATCCACATCCATTGGAGGGGCCCTTCTGACCCGTCTGACTATTTTACCCTTTCTGAACCGTCTGACCCTACTTACCCATCTGACTGTTCTAACCCGACCCTTCTGACCTGTCTGACCAATCTCACCCTTCTATCCTGTCTTACCATCTAACCCGTCTCACCCATCACATTAAGATGTGGTCAATCTCATTTTACTAGACTCTGTGTTCTTCTCCCACCAGCTGCTGGTTCTGACCGGAGTCCGTTACCTGCAGACAACCATGGAGAATGTTCTCCACCTGGGCGATCCTGATTCAGAGGTTGACGGTTGGATACTGGAAAACAGCCTGGCGGAAACCGCCCGTTCTAACTTTAACATCATCAAGAACATGGGGAAGTGTTACCAGGTGGACAATGACCCCAACATCAACATCCCAACTGCCACCGCCGAGCAGGAGGTGCTGTCCTGCCAGGTCGGAACCCCTGTTACCGGCATCCAGTAAAGCCATGGACCTCTAGGTGGTTCGGGACCAAACTGAACAGGTTCAGAACCTCTAACTCTGGTGATGCTTCCTGAGAACCCGGGTCTCAAGTACGGGAAGCTCTGAGGAGGATCTGTCCTCGGTTCCTCCCACGTTCACTATTCAATGCCTTCCATTTGTGAAGTTTGTCAAACGTTCGGCAGGTTCGTGGCCTTCAGATGGAAGTCAAACCTTTTTGTGTGACAAAATATCTCAAGGTTTTTATGCTGTTAGCAGGCTCATTAGTTTACAGCTTTTCTGCCAGCTGAAGGGTTTATACATGTCACGTTAGAAGCTCTGTAAAGCTGGGATTTGAGCTAAACGCTAAAGGCTGATGAATGTCTTACTAAAACATTTACCTGACGAGGATCGATGAAGTTCATCCTGAGGGGAATACAAATTGTGTTGAGACCAATGAATGTAAACAAAAATGTTCTACCTTTTAATCCTTAGGTTTCCAGTTTTCAGATGATACACCTCTGTGAAAGGATGGCTCGCCTAAAATAAAATAAAAATGAGAAACATGGAGAAATTAACCCAAGTACCAAAAAAACGTCAGTTCCTCAAATATCCACTAGATGGTTGTCATAGAGCTACATGGTGAAAGGAACACGGAGCAGGTCCCTGAAGCTAACGCACCTCTTCACAACAACGAAAGGGCTGAATATCTTAATTGAGGGTTAAAGTTAGTCATGGGGGCGTGGCCTCTTTGAGGTGGGTGTGGTCTGAACCTAGGGTCTCTTTGCTGTGTCATCCTTTCTAGAGTTTGTCTGCACCCCAAATATCATACTTCTGTTTTTTGAATATTATGATAATAAATGAGAAACATATCAGCACCCAGCAGCAGGTATTCTTCTTAAAGGAACATTCCAATATTTGGTTTATCTCTATATAAATGGTTAGCTTAGCTTAGCATTAAGCCTGGAAGTATGTAGAAACAGCTAGCCTGAAATCTCTCTGTTCCATAGGAAACTAAACTGTGTGATTATTTTATGATTTCAATAAAACTTTTTTGTATTCACGAAAACAAGTCATTTGATGGCAGGTTTATCAATATGTAGCTATTTATGTTGGGATTTGTCTCGTTACATAAGAATCTTAATACCAACATTTTGATCCTTGTCATTATTTTTGCTGTTTTTTCATGTGTAGGATAGGGATGGAGGGGGGGGGGGGGGGTATGTGGCCATCAGCATGATAACCTGGCCCCTCTGCGACAAGCTGACTAGCTCACTGAGAGCAAAACACTGGACTAGATCTCCACTCTTTGCTGTCCTGCTCCTAAATGGTGGAAGGAGGTCTCTGAAGACATCAGGACCACAGAGAGCCTTCACATCTTCAGACTAAAGACACACCTCTTCAGACTCTACCTCCACTAACACACTAACTAACTGTACCACTTACATTGGACTTATAATGGTTCTTATCTACAGCAAGTTGTAAATTGGCTTATTTGATGAAATTGCACTTTCTTATTTCTTGTTCTTCTGAGTTTGTGTCCTTATGGTTGAAATGTTCTTATTGTAAGTCGCTTTGGATAAAAGCGACAGCTAAATGACATGTGATGTAATGTACCTGTTTGTTTAGTTGCAGTGCAGCAACCAGAAGGAGGCGACACAGGGGACCAACAGCAGCTCTCCATTCCTCAAGTGTACTGGAATATATCACACACACTGTGTGTTATTAGGAATCAGGATCAGGAATCAGGAAACATTTATTACCAAAATATGCCAAACATACAAGGAATTTGTCTTGGCGGTTGGTGCGCTAGGTCCATCTGTGGAACCAAAGTATAATTAATATTTGATTTTATATTAAATATTCAGTGAACTGCTCTGAATCTCATTCATGTTTTAGTTTTTTCATCATTTTATGTTGAGTTGACTCTTGTGCTGCATTGAGGGCAGCTAGATTTTTTCTGCCGCTAACTGATTTATTACTTCAACAGCTAAACAGCTAAAAACACTAAACAAATTGTAGCCCTTAAATTGTACTTATGCCACTTATCTACAGCAAGTTGTAAATCGGCTTATTTGATGCAATTGTGCTTTCTTGTTTCTTGTCCTTCTGAGTTTGTTTCCTTATGGTTGAATGCACTTGTAAGTCGCTTTGGATAAAAAAATCAGCTAAATGACATGTAATGTAATGTAACAGTAAAACTTCATCTGAAATACACAGTGTTTCAACACACAAGTGTATATAAAAATGTGAACAGCAGAAAGTGTTTTGGAAACAACATTCTCAACTCTTCTTTGAAAACAGGAAACTAGAAACCAAAGCAACCTCCTCTCAGTCCCCTGAAGAACAAAGCAGTCATGGCCGCCGGCTGCTGGTTGCCTGGTAACGCGTCCCGGGTGAGAGCCAGGAGGCTCGACGGACAAATGAACGACAGTAAGCTGCTTTGTACAAACAAACTTAAAATTCAGGTCCACAAAATCAAAAACTGCAGTTATAATATAATATAGCTATCAGCTCTCCCAAAGCAACTTTAGGGTTATTGGTTTTATTGCTAATGGAATTTACCTTAATTTAATCCATTTAAAATATTGGTTTTGCATTATTAAAAATATTTACAGGGATTTTGCTGTACTAATATATTAGTCTTAATATTTACAATAAAATAAGCTATTTTTAATTATTATAATATGAATGGATTTCAATTATAATATCACTATGACCACTGAAAGAAAATTATTATTTTACTTTTTTATTATTTAAATATTATATTATGAACGAAATTGGGATACATTAAAAGTGAAGCCCCGCCCACCAACTAGATTTAGATCACAGGATTAGACGCTGCTGTTGTCAGACTGATGTCTGAATGATGACAGGTTTGTTGTTGCGATCATGAAATTATTCCGGACCAATAGTTTTACCCTGGACAAGCAATGATCCACACATCTCATTGTCACAACACAACATGCTTCACTCATTCATGTGTTGTGTTCAGGTTCTGTGAGGCTTTCAGTGACTTGCTGCTCTAGCACGTGAACCACGCCGTCCTGTTAACAACCTCAGCCAATAGTGAAAGGGTCAGGCTGAGGAGGATCCTAATTGGCTGCAGGCAGGAGTAGGGTGAGCTGACGTCACTGCAGTACTGAAGTACGTTTTCTAACCCTAACCCTAGGAGATACGGGGTTCTTATACTGGAAGATACAGGGTTCTTATACTGGAAGATACAGGGTTCTTATACTGGAGGATACAGGGTTCTTATACTGGAGGATACCGGGTTCTTATACTGGAGGATACAGGGTTCTTATACTGGAGGATACCGGGTTCTTATACTGGAAGATACAGGGTTCTTATACTGGAAGATACAGGGTTCTTATACTGGAGGATACAGGGTTCTTATACTGGAGGATACAGGGTTCTTATACTGGAGGATACAGGGTTCTTATACTGGAGGATACAGGGTTCTTATACTGGAGGATACAGGGTTCTTATACTGGAGGATACAGGGTTCTTATACTGGAGGATACAGGGTTCTTATACTGGGAGATTACAGGACTGACTGTGTTCAGTCATGGTAAAATGACAGAGATGAGGAAGAGGGTGGGGCCTGGATGCTGCCACTGTACATGCTGATGGAGGATGGGGGAGGGGTGGTGTATCTGTTTTGTATTCAATCTCATCACCTTGTTACTTGTGTGTATATATATATATGTATATGTGTGTGTGTGTGTGTGTGTGTGTGTGTGTGTGTGTGTGTGTGTGTGTGTGTGTGTATGCAAACATTTTACAAATATTTGACTCACCTGAACCAAGTGATCCCAAAGCTAGATCCAGTTAGAGCAGTTAATCTCAGTTAACTATAACTAAAATATATAAATATGGATCATAATGTTAGGTAATCACATATACTTTATATTTTTGTTGAAAATAAAATGACACTACACTCACACGCACACTCACACGCACACTCACACGCACACTCACGGTCTTCTGAAGGTGAGAAATAATTTAAAGCTACAGGAGATAGTGCTTTGTCACCACGGACAACCCCTCCTCCTCCTCCTCCTCCTCCTCCTCCTCCTCCTCCTCCTCCTCCTCCTCTTCCTCTCCTCCTCCTCCATCTCTTCCTCGTATAACGGAGATAAACTGTGATCGTACCACATAAAGTGGGCGGGGTTTGTTGAGGTTGACCTTCACAGCCGCCTGAACTAAACATAGACACTAGACTTTACTACTGTTATTAAAGACACGTGAACTAAGCACAGACACGAGACTGTCTGTGCTTTGGTCTGTTGCTCAGAGACACTTTTGATCTGAAGCTGCACAGAGAGAGATAGACCACGTGACCTCCAGAGGGATCTCCCTCCAATGGAATGAATGAACTGTAAATAGGAGCCAATCAGGAATAGGAGGCGGGTATAAAAGGCTGAGCGCATCTTTAATCCGCAGTAGCAGAACCGGATCCGCTTGAGACCACTTCACAACAGACTGAACTAACAGGTAAGACCCTCTCACACTGACCAATCACAGCTGATCACCTCATCAATGCTCCCGGTTATTGGTTCCCCACCCAGAAAGAGGCTCGCGCTCAGCGGGCATCACACATCAGTCTCCGGCCTCAGAGTGCTGCAGGGTCACCGGAACAAAGAGGCTGCAGACAGACAGACAGACAGACAGACGGGCTGAATACTGGTTGTTAGCGTGCTGCTGAGCGTCACAGAGTCCGTCCGTCCGTCTGTCTGCAGCCCGTCTGTCCGCAGCCCGTCTGTCTGTCTGTCTGCAGCCCGTCTGTCCGCAGCCCGCCTGTCTGTCCGCAGCCCGTCTGTCTGTCTGTCTGCAGCCCGTCTGTCCGCAGCCCGCCTGTCTGTCTGTCTGTCTGTCTGCAGCCCGTCTGTCCGCAGCCCGTCTGTCTGTCTGCAGCCCGTCTGTCCGCAGCCCGTCTGTCTGTCTGTCTGTCTGCAGGTGCTGCGCACTCACCGCTTCTTCATCTCGCGTGCGGTAGTTTAATGATCATAAACTTCAAATATCAACAGATTCGTTAAGGTCATTTGATGCTTCAATGTGCAGCTTTGAATAAAATGTTCTAATTCAACATTAAATCTTCTGGCCCAAACGTTTATCATGTATGAGCTGCGCATGCTCACATCGGCTTGATTTACCACTTAAACGAGATGATTACGGATTAACGAGCACGAGCGCGGGTCACGCGCAGGACCCGGTTGAAGGTGACCGGAGTCTGAGGGGTTAAACCCGGTTTGGAGCTGCGTCACTCCGCGGCCTCCCGCAGACCAGTTGGACCCGCCCCGATCCAGGCCGGCCCGAACCGGGTCAGATCCCTGCAGAGGTTCGGAAGAGTCACATGACCTCATGCTGCAGATGGTCTGGACCATAAAACCAGATTCAGGATTATTTCAGGGACCACCACAATATGATGGTTCAAGGTTAACGACGCACACCAGCCGCACGCGCGCGCGCGCACACACACACACACACACACACACACAGCTTTTTCTTTTATATAATATCACAATGGAAAATTATATCTTTGGTAATAATATATTTTTATAAATAGCATTTATTTATAGTATTTATAATAATTTTATAATAATTTTTACATATTGAGTAGAACTAGTAACACTGTATTTTGCTGATTTGGTTTCTATTTTGTTTAGATTTAACAAATTAATTTTATTAATTAATAGGAGGGTCCTTCTCCTGGTGGACAGACTACAATGTGTACAGAATGAACAACAACTCATGACAACCGGTTTATTTCCTTTATGTTAATTCAATAACATAAATACGAATCCTCATATACAAGGACACTAATATTGGGACTTATTTAAGAAGTGATGTGAGAAGAGAACACTAATGTTACAGTTTAAGTAAATCAACCTACATGAGAAGCTTATTCGTCCAAACTGTTCCGAGGTCAGGAGCCGGTCGTCATCATGCCTTTCGGAAATACCCACAACAAGCTGAAGATGAACTACTCATCGGACCAAGAGTACCCCGACCTCAGCCAGCACAACAACCACATGGCAAAGGTGCTCACACCTGAAATGTACGAACACCTGAGAGACAAGGAGACGCCCAGTGGCTTCACCCTGGACGACATCATTCAGACCGGCATCGACAACCCAGGTACAAGTTACACCTGTCTGAGCCAGGCAGCATCCTGGATTAGTTTATAACCTACCTGGTAACCCCTTATCTAACCAGGGCACCACTTATTTACACCATGTAACCCCTTAACTAAACCAGATAACCCTTTTAACCAGGTAGCTCCTGGTGCTGTGGGTCACCTTCATGCAGGGCGATTGTGATCCCGTCTTTAGCTGTTTCTTAATTGGATTGACTCAGGAAATCAGGTTAATTTCTGCTTGTTTAATACCCCACAAGGACGTTGTGAGTACTTCCTGTCTGGTCTCTTGATCCTTTGCATCCAAGCCATTAATTTAGCAACACACAAAAAAATAAATACAATTGTTAAGCACCGATATCAAATGTAAACTTCCAGCACAATTTACAAGAGAAGTCTAATTCCATCCATATTAAAACTACTGCATCACTCTGGTCCAAGTCAGAAAATTGGTGATCAGCAATTTTGTTTCCTACAGGTCACCCGTTCATCATGACGGTGGGCTGCGTCGCTGGAGACGAGGAGACATATGAGGTCTTCAAAGAGCTGCTGGACCCGGTGATTGAAGACCGTCACGGAGGGTACAAACCATCGGACAAACATAAGACTGACCTGAACCCTGAGAACCTGCAGGTAAACCACAACAAACCGTCCTGAACCAAGAAAACATGGATGTAGATTTGCTTGTGTCTAGAGTTTGGTCGATACTGGCCTCTACTAATTGGCACAGGAAAAACAAATAATGAAAAACCCTTCAATAGGGAGAAAAAAACGGAAGAAACCTTAGTGAGAACTTTGGAGGAGGATCCCTCTCCCAGGATGGACAGACTGCAACAGATGTCACGTGTACAGAATGAACAGCATAAATTAAATTCAAACAACGGAAATGATTCAAATATTGAGAGTAGTACACTGCATCAACAACCACCATCCACAGAAACCTGTGGGGAGGGGAAGCACAAAGAAGTCTGTAATGTTGGTTTATGATGACAGGGATAGGAATGTGATAATAATGGTAGTAGCTAATAGGGCCTTGCTATGGACCGAATCTATCCATGATCCATGGCAAACCTGGCAAGGTTAAGAATCTACAAAAACTACGAAAGAGAAAGCTGTACCTTTTGGAGATGTGTCTTATATTTTTTAT